ACCCCAATAACCTTGTGACACCTCCCCCCCCCCAACTCCTTTTTTGGGTCGGGACCCCTCCAGTTACAACACCCTGAAATTTCAGATTTAAATAGCTGAAATCATGACATTTACGATTTTAAAAATCCTATGACTGTGAAATTGACCAAGATGGACCACGAATTTGGTATAGTCCTACCTATTGTGTAAAAGCCACAATGGCAGCCAGGGAGCAGCAAAGTGACACAGGTGGGATTTGAACCCACAACCTTTGAATAACTGTCTTAATGCATAGAGGCCAGGCACTACTCCTTAGAAGTCCAACATGCTAGCTATTGTGCCACAGAGCCCTTTGTATAGGAAAGGAGTTCCTCTCCTCTCTCTATTTGGCAACACATCCTTGCTGTGGGAAAAGCAGGGGAAGAGCTGAGGAAAACACCACACTTGTTTGGCATTGAACCCAGACAGACTGCGTAGATAACAGCCATCCTAACTGCTACACCACCAGTGCTACTCTGATAGCTGTCCTCAGGACCCATGAATATACATTATCTAAAGCAGGGGTGGGCAAACCTTTTGGCCCAAAGGCCACATCGGCGTTGAGAAACTGTATGGAGGGCCAGGTAGGGAAGACTGTGCCTCTCCAAACAGCCTGGCCCCCCATCCACCCCCTCCCACTTCCCGCCCCTTGACTGCCCCTCTCAGAACCCCCGACCCATCCAACCTCCCCCCACTCCCTATCCCCTGACTGCCCCAACCCCTATCCACACCCCCACCCCCAGACAGGCCCCCCCCAGGACTCCCATGCCTATCCAATGCCCCCTGTTCCCCATCCCCTGACTGCCCCCCCCCGAACCTCCACCCCATCCAACCACCCCCTGGTCCCTGGCCCCCGGGACCCCTGCCCCTTACCCAATCTCCCTCCCCCTTACCATGCTGCTCAGAGCAGCAGGAGCTCGCAGCCCCACCGCCCGGCCAGAGCCAGCCACACCACCCGCGCTGCCCGGCAGGAGCGGTAGACCAGACCACTGGCAGCGCGGCACACAGACTGCAGGGGAGGGGGACAGCAGGGGAGGAGCTGGGAGCTCAGGGGTTGGATAGGCTGGATGTGGCCCGCGGGCCGTAGTTTGCCCACCTCGGACCTAGAACCTGTCTGCAGCCAGAATGTAGCCAAAGTGACACTGTCAGGGTTCAGTCACTATACCACTGTTTTTTTCACTTCTCTCCAAGCGTCCGGTGCGGGCTGGCGGCTGCCCACTCTGAGGACAGTCTCAGGTGGGGACTTTCACTGGGGCGCTACGCCAGCCAAAATATAGAAAATAACTATCATCAAAACAAAACAAAACTATTTTAAATGACAACACAAGACACCCAGGCCTTACCTTGTACTGCTGGGTGGCCTCCTCTACTGGGAAAACAGTGTGAGTTCTGTGAACTTGCGACTCTCTGCAGATCACACAAATCAGTTGGTGATCCGTGTCACAGAAGAGTTTCAGGGCCTCCCGGTGTAGCTCACACCCTTGCTCCCCTCCTGCGGTTACTGTGACCTGGAAACTCAGCTGCCTGGCTATTTCCACAACTTTCCCCAGCTCCCTGTTGGGCCTGAAAAGCTTCTGCTGGGCGGTTTCTCTGCACTGCGGGCAGGTGAAGTTTGTATCTGTCTCACCCCAGCACTGGCTGATGCAGGCTCGGCAGTAGTTGTGCCCACAGTGGATAGACACCGGCTCTTTGAAATACTCCAGGCAGATGGAACAAGAGAGTTCATCCTGGAGACTTAGTACAGAGCTGTCTGCGGCCATGGCTGCGTGACAGGGTTAGTTTCACTTCCTTGTGTTCGGCCTCTGTTCAGCCTATGGGGCGTTCCCCTTAGATCTGGCTGATTTGCTGCTGTCCCTGTGGCTGAGAGGGAGGGCTCTAGTCTAGGGAGAAATGTGACTCTCTCTATGTGCAGGGAGCCACATCAAATCCCCAGCAGTGGTGCTCAGGGAAACAAATCAAAGAACGGCAATACTGAGTCAAACCAATGCCCCATCTAGCCCAGTATCCTGTCTTCCGACAGTGGCCAATGCCCGGTGCCCCAGAGGGAATGAACAGAACAGGTAATCATCAAGTGATCCATCCAGTCCCAGCTTCTGGCAAACAGAGGCTACGGACACCATTTCTGGCTAATAGCCACTGATGGACCTGTCCTCCATGAACTTATCTCGTTCTTTTTTGAACCCTGTTATAGTCTTGGCCTGCACAACATCCTCTGGCAAAGGCTTCCACAGGTTGACTGTGCGTTGTGTGAATAAATACTTCCTTTTTGTTTGTTTTAAACCTGCTGCCTCCTAATTGCATTTGGTGACCTCTAGTTCTTGTGTTATGAAAAGGAGTAAAGAACACTTCCTTATTTACTTTCTCCACACCAGTCATGATTTTATAGACCTCTATCATATCTCACCTTAGTCGTCTCTTTTCCAAGCTGAAAAGTGCAGTTTCATTAATCTCTCCTCATATGGAAGCTGTTCCATACCCCTACTCATTTTTGTTTTCTTTTCTGAACCTTTTCCAATTCTAATATAACTTTTTTGAGATGGGGCAACCACATCTGCACGCAGTATTCAAGATGTGGGTGTACCATGGATTTATATAGAGGCAATATGATATTTTCTGTCTTATTGTCTATCCTGTTCCTAATCATTCCCAACATTCCGGTCCGGGTCAAAGTGCGGCTGAAGCTAGGAGTGAGCCTCATGCAGGCGCGAGGGCACCTCAGGCAAACAGACATCCCTGTGGGCCTCCTCCTGCAACAACCGCCAAACGGGTGGGCGTGGCTGGAGTCTCGCCACAGCTGTGCCAGGCCCAGGGCAGTCACTGGCGGCTGGCGGGAGCCAGGAGCCAAGCGCTGCCCCTGGAGGCAAGGTGGGAGTCGGAGCTGAGGTCCCCCCCGGGCCTAGCTCCAAAGAGAAGTGCACTGGATCTCAGTGCTGGGGAGACAGTGGAGGAGTTGCTGTGCCAGTGGCTGATGGGCAAGAGGGGGCCACAGCCAGTTGCAGCAACTGCAGAGGGACAGGCGCTGCCAGATCCTCGCTGCCAGACTGTGGATGTGGCTGCTCCGAATGAGGTTGCCCGTTTCCCGGGACCATCCCTCTTTTGAGGGTGCTGCCCCGGGCACTCCGTAAGACTGCGCATTGTATGCTGCCAGCTGTCAAGTGTTATGGGTTCGGGGGCATCCTTCAGGAGCAAGTGCGGGGCCTTGGTGGAAGAGGTGGGACAAGGACTCGGGGCTGAATGGGGGAGGATCGAGGGCGGGGCCGCAGGGGGAGGGGTGGAGAGCAGGCAGGTCCTCAAGGGTAGGGGCACTTCCGGTGCTCGTGGTTCTAGTTCCCACAGACCACCTCCACTTATAAAAGTGATGGGGCCATGCTCCCCTGGACCTCCTATTCCAGTGCCCCTGATTGGAAGCCTGCTCATTGGGGGAGCCTGCCCTGAGCTGGGATGCCTTCATTCGCTCTAGACATCTCACAGTGCCGCACCTCTGTGGGATCACATTGGAGTCAGGCCACCTGCAGAGCTGGAGCCAGCCTCAGCCCTTGCACAGACATGACCGAATAAAAATCATCATGGCAGCTGCTGCAGAGTTCAACGCGGCTACAACCCATGTGGGTTTGGGACAGTGGCAGCCAGAACCACGGAAACACACAGGCACATAAAGGGGAATCCTGTTCAGTGCCCTCGACTCGGATAACACTAACCCGGCCAAGACAAACTGGGCCAGTCTCTCCCGCTCCACAGCTCTAGTCATCCCTGCCTAGACATGCTGGACCAGGAGCAGCCCTGGCATACAATGAGTGCATCTGCCACTGAACAAATAGGCCGCAATGTACATAATATATAATTTTATTATTTATATAGTTATGGAAAGTAAATAATACGTGGAAGAAATTAAAGGCTTTTTCTTAC